TGTGTCCCGTGCATGACATGGACTATGCACTAGTTAAGTTTTTAAAAGGAAATGATAATACTTAATGATAAAAAGGAGAAGAAAAAAAACAACAATGTGAACAATAAGTAGAAAAAAAATCATTATTAAGAAATTTTCTCTTCTAATCAAGATTTTTTTTTTGTTTTCCTAATTTACAAATAAATATCATTGGGGTGATTAATCTATATGTATATCCATTAAGTGATATTTTCCAATCTATATATGTATATTTACTGGCTATTCCTAAAAAATTTTCGCTCATTTGATTCCATCTAACTATGGAAAATAACCGTTACTTTTTGTATTATCTAATTGTGATAATATTTTTTATTATTTTATTATATTATAATTACTAATAATATTAGCTAATTATAAATTTACGTTAAAAGTTGTATGTAAGTTACACACTTATAAAAAGTGTTATAGCAAAACAATTTCTCCATGCTATATATTTTTAAATAATATTATATCTTTATTTTTAACACATTATGTGATTTTTTTTATGTACCTTATTAATTTAATGGCATAACCACTCCCTTAAAATTACTTAAATAGTTGCTATAATAATAATACTTTTAATACCTTTTAACTAACTAATTGGTTATAACCCCTTAAATTTATAAAAATAAAAGAATATTATTCATTGCATATTATGCAATGTATGTAGTTTTTATATATAAGTAAAATAATTTATAATTATAATGTTCATTGCTACTAATGATCATAATTATAAAATGTGATATATATACTCATTATATAACTTATAATTTCAAATAGAATATTTACTTGCATCTTTGCATGTGCGCAGGATCGAATACCAGTTCAAGTAAAATTCCAGATTTTATAGACATGGAATAATTGATTGTAATTTTTTTGAAAGGTTAATCTCAAACTAATGATATTACATCACTAAAAATAAAAATATATTGTGTTGAAATAAAATTGTATATTAATTTATTTTGGAAAGTTTTATCGATAGATTTGAATCAATTATGGATATCACATAAATTACAATAAAAATAACAATGGTGGTACATAAAAATTAGCAAAAGAAAATAAATAAAAAAAAAAGAAATTAAAAATAATGATTAAAAAGTGCGCAAAAATTTTTTTGACANTAAAATATTAACTTAATTAAATATCTTTGGAAAACCAAAAACTCTTACAATAATATAAATATTATATAAATTAAAAATTTATTACAAGCTAATAAATAAATAAAGAAGACAAAATAAGAATATCCAACAACCTCTAAGCATGTACACTTCACATTAAACTTTGTAGCAGTGTTTTAAATACCGTACCAGTGACTATACCGGATGAACCACCGGTACGCGGTTCAACCGATTTTACCGTCTATTTTAACGGTTTTAAAAAATAGTAAATTAATCTATTATTGTAATGTAAATAATATATAAAACCAACTATAATAAATACTAAAATTATCTAAAGTCAAATAACAATGTAAATATATTAAATTTAAGTGTAGAACTTTCTATTTATATAAATAAATTATAAAAATATGGTATAAAAATATTTTTTTTAAAAAAATCCGGTATGCCCGGTATTTTAACCGGTAAAATCGGTATTTTGGCCAAAACGGTATTTTGGAGGTAATCATACCGGTTGGACCACCGGTATCCGGTATTATCGGTAACACTGGCTGGTACGTACCGGTATTTAAAACACTGCTTTGTAGTCAATCAAAAGTTGGGTGCAAGTTCAAATGAGAACATTTTTCCAATATTTCTAGACTAATATTCCCTCCTTGTTTTAATAATTGTCGTTTTGAGAAGTGACACCGTAATTAAGAATTTTTTTTTTGTCAATAATAACTCTCATTAATGAGGATAGAGATGGATGTTTTAAGAAAAAAGATGAAGAGTGACTATGAAAAGACGTGGTGTATTTATTAGTTAGATAAAGATAATAATGGAAAAAATATGTACAAAATATCCAAAACGTATTTATTTGATTAACTATTGATAAAGTCAAAATAATATTTTTTAAAAAAATTAAAGTGAGTACTAGTATAATATTTTCAAATTTCAAGCATCCCTCTACCTATGATTCAGTATTCTATTTTGAGTAATGCTATAAAGTCAACTTGAGTTACAACTTGGGTTACAACTCAAGTGTAAATATATTATTTATTAATTTTTTAATAATACATTTACACTTGAGTTGTAATCCAAGTTGTCACTCAAGTTGGCTAAATAGCATTACTCTTCTATTTTTCAGCCTACAAATTGGGTGCTCTCGAGAATGGACAAAACACGACACGCGGCAATAAAACATAGGAATTAGGAAACGTAACATTAACAAACATAAATCGAGTCCAAGAAAGCGAGGAAAACTCTGCCGGCAAAATTTGTTGTTGGTTGGTTCATAGTATTCAGAAAAACGTGTCCATTTACCAACTATTTGCTTCTAATCCGGGCAATATTTAAGGCTTTATTATTATTTTATTTTTTTTTTGAAATTAAACATTGGAAACCACACTTTATTCATAACTGAAATAAATAGCAAGGTAGCTATGAGAATATAGATAAAAAAGAGATGAAAATGAATGCAATATTCCAAATAGCAAAGTAATTATTATGAGAATTTAGATAAAAATGAAATGAAAGTGCATGTTAGGATAACAGTCGATGTGGTTTATAATTGTTTAAACCTCCACTGTTAATAATGATTGATAATACGAATTATGCAAGTATAGAGATATCATATATCTTCGTAAGAAAATGTAAAATAAATAATAACAACTAGGACTACAAGAAAATGATGAAATTCCAACGAAAATATATTTCAATAAAATTTCAACGACAATTCCAATGGATATTTCAACGCTATTATTTCCGTTGGAATAATTCCAACGGAAATTTCAACAAAAATATTCATTTGGAATGAGTTTTTCATTGAAATTTCTGTTGGATTTTGACGATTCCAACGGTAGATTTTCCAACGGTGGTGGAAATAAAAATTCCAACGGAAATTGTATATTCCAACGGAAATTCCTACTATCAAAAGCCGTTGGAAATATAGCCGTTGGGATCATCGAATTCCATCTAAAATTCTAATGAAAAATACATTCCAACGAAATATTTTTGTTGGAATTTCCGTTGGAATAATTCAACGGAAGCTATGCCATTGGAATATCCGTTGGAATTTTCATTGAAATATATTACTATAGGATTTTCCGTTGGAATATAACAATTTTTTTGTAGTGTAGTATTTTCTTCCGCAAGATAAATAAATAAAAATGATAAGAATTTTCGGTTTAATTATGACTTTGCCAGCGAAAAGAAAATGAACATGAGTGCTTGTACTTAAATTGGAAATATTACAATTTTACTTCA